AGTTAATAATCTTAGAGCAGGGGTTCTTATCTTTTTTTGTGTCTTGGACCCCTTTGCCAGTATAGTGAAGCATATGAACTCCTTAGAATGTTTTAAAATGAACAAAATAAAACACATTGGATTATAAAGGTAATCAGTTATATTGAAATAGTTACCAAAATATTTTTGAAAAAGTTCATGTCTAAGGGCAAGAAACCCAGTGAATGGGGCACTAAGAAATTAAATGACTTTTCCAAGGGGTCATACCCCAATAGATGTCAGAGGAAAACCCAGGTTTTCTTGAGTCTGAAGCCAATTCTCTACCCACTATCCTACAATGCCTATGTAATATTCTTTATTCTACTTTCCAATTAATTTTTTGAGAGAATTTTAGAGACAATCTTCTCTAACTGCATCATTTTATGGATAAGGAAACAAAGGTCCAGAAAGAAGGGACTTGTTCAGGATCACACAGCTAATAGATATAGCCAGGACTAAATCTAGGTCTTCTTACTAGGATTCTTCTCATTTCACCAAACTATATGCTTTGGTACTAAATTTAGCTAAAGAAGTAACTTCAGGATTCTTTGCTAGGTTAGCTGAGTAGGAGAAAGAGTGATTGTGTACATGTTTGTTGTGTTTAAGTTCTTGGTAATTAGGTATTTGGAACTGCAAAGAAAAAATTAATTAAAAATCTTGAAAAGTCTAGTTTTGAGAAGGGGGGAGGAGAGAAAAGAAACAAATAAAACTGCCCCTTTTATTAAAAAAAAAGAAGCATCATGCTATTTGAGACCAAGATACTACTATATTGCCCACTCTGTTGCCAGAACAGAGGAGAGAATAAATATGATTTCTTGAAGGGGTGGGGATTTGAAACAGTAAGACTGTTCTGGATGGCTCAAGACCTCACTCCCCCATAAAAAGTTTTCTTGACTAGTCTAGCTCAGGCTTCATTGATCTCTCTCTCTCTCTCTCTCTCTCTCTCTCTCTCTCTCTCTCTCTCTCTCCCTCCCTCTCTCTCTCTCTCTCTCTCTCTCATATCACCTAGAGGGCTTATAGTACGTATCATTATCATGAAATTTGTGTACTGCTTATATTGTCCACTGTTGTTTTGTGTGTTAGTCTTGTTTTTCCAGCAAAACTGAAAGCTTCTTGAGGGCAGGGACTTTTGTCTTATGCTTAGAGTCAAGAGATACTTAGGTTGTAATAGTGGCTCAGACATTTCCTGGTGTGACCCCAGGCTAGTCCCTTTACCACTCCACGCCTCAGTTTCTGCATCTTTCGGATGGAGATAATAACACCTACAATGCCAGCATCCTGGGATTATTGTGAGGAAAGTGCTTTGTAAACCTTAACAGCTCTTTGCAAATGTGAGCTTTTATTTTTATGCTTCTTAGTCCCCCACGGAGTCTGTCTGCCAGGAACAAATAGTAGATACAGAAAGTAGTAGATAAATAAGTTTATACTTATTTGCAAGTTTAAAGGAGACTTGGGGGTGGAAGAAGTGAAGTTATACTATCTGTTTTAAAGCTTACAAAGTACTTTACATATTTTTATGGATTTGAGTCACAACTATTAGTGATACTGAAGATGAAACTGAGGTTTAGAACTTTAAGTAACCCGCTTGCTGTGGTCATGGATACTGAAGTGTCAGCGACTGATTTGAACCCAGGTTTTCCCCACTCACAACACCTTTCTTAAAAGATAACATATAACCAAATCCATATGCCTTGTGACTTGTGGCAAAATGGAGCTAGATGGGTTTTCCTCTTGTAAATCATTCTGGCAATTTGGAAATTGGAAGGCTTTGGTAAAGATAAGCAATAAAAATGAACAGAAAGAAGAAACAACCACACTAAGAACCAGTCATTGTTCTTTCCCTTTCTCTTCCACCTTCTCCCTTTTCTCCACTCCCACCATATATCTTTGCAACTTCCATATGCAAAAGTAAACATAATCAAATTTGGAGACCTAAATTTTGGAGATTTAACACCAAAGTTCTAGTTTCCCAAGTCAGGAATTGTTGAGTCATTCTTCTAGGCTAAAGTTTTGTTAATGGTCTCTAGTACTGCTAGGTTCTTTTAAAAATGTCAGGCATAAATAGGAAAGCCCTTACTATTCTGGTTTGCATAGAGAGTGGGGGAGAAAGGAGAAAGCAGCTGTGAAGCCTTTCTTGGGATGACCAAATGCTAGAGTGATTTTTGAATCTCTGCCAATTACACAAAAAGGATCTTGAATTTAACCTTGAACTTTTGAACCTGTTGGAATATTATTTTTTTAGGTCTCATCTCAGTTATTTTAATCCTAATGTCTTATGTGGGATGGATCAACTGCGCTGAGGCACAGTTACGTTAATAAATTATTTAGCCTTTCTTACACTGTCAACTGTAGTGTTGCTTAGCATCTCATAGTGATGTTCCATGACTGTAGAATTACTTTTCAACTTATCTAATGAATTCTGCTCTTGGATTCCAATGGATCAATAAACGAAGTGAAGCTATCAGATTAAAGGGGTTTGCCTGGGGTGTCACTATTATTTGGTTGAAAAGTTAATAGATTCTGGGCATCCCAACCTCCTATTTCTTCTTCGTGCCATCCTTTCTGATCCTAAAGTTTTTCTGCTTGTTTTACCTACACAGCAAGAAAATTTTTTTTTGCATTCTAATTAATTGAAAGCTAACATTTAGTGTGCTTTGGGGCTGCTGTTGAATGACAGAATTAGTCACCTCATAAAATAAAATTATATTCTGTCACCCAGTTGTGTTCTGCTGTCTCTATGTTCCATTTTTTGAAATGCCAAAATGAATTACAAGATAATTATGTTTGAAATGCACACTTTAAAAATTAATAATTGTATGATTAAGCTCCCTTTCTCCATTGGTATTATTGTAAATGAATGCATGGGAACAGAATTTTTTTCCTACAAATGATTCTTTTGCTTTTGTTCCCTATATTTACCACATGTCTAGATTATTGTAATAGTCTACAAACTGATTTTGTAGAAGAAGAAACCTCATAGTCAAGTGAAGGCTTATTTTATGTTTTGGAGAGAAATGGGGACCTTTATAGGTGGCATTTCCCCCTTAGCATCTCTATTATAATAATTTTGTTAGGCAGTCATTCATTCAAAAGTCTTTGATTAAGCAAGACTCTACAATCAGTCCCTGACCTCAAGGAACTTATAGACTACTTATCTATCCCTTATTATTGCCAAATTAATCTTCTTAAAACATTATTATTATCAGATCTTTTCCCTGCTCAGAGACTTCCAGCATGAACCATTGCCTATGAAATTCAAACTCCTTTGCAAGGTCCTCTATGTGGATAAAAGTTTATCACTTCCATCCTCATTATGAACCTTTCTGTTCCCCAAATATACCAGGTGAGTTCCTGCCTCTGGGCCTTTACTGAATCTTGCCTGGAATGTCACCCCTCCCCTGCCCCCTAATCACCTAATTCAATCCTATTCCCTTTTTAGGACCTAGTTTAAGTCTTAACTACATCTACAAATCTTTTCCAAACTGGGTCATGGGGCTTAGAGCTGAAAGAATACTTTAGAGACCATATAATTCAACTCATTTATTTGACTGATGAGAAAAATGAGACCCAGAGAGGGCAAATGACTGATCTAAGTTTACATAAGTTATAGTAAGCAGTAGAACTAGGATTTGACTTCAGGTTCTGACTTCAAATGTAGTACTCTTTCCACCAAAACACATTGACTTCTCACATTGATCTTCCTCTGTTTCTGTTGAGAGCATCACCGTGCTTCCAACTCACTCAGGTTTCAAACTTCAGGGTTATTGTTGACTCTTCCCTCTCCCTTATTCCACATATCTAATTCTAGCTCTATGACATGTCTTGTTCCCACTCCCTACTCTCTGCTCACATAGTCTGTCCTCTCCTCTAGTCCAGGCCTTTATCACCTCTTACCTGGAATACTGCAATGGCCTCCTAATTGTTCTTCCTACCTCCAGACTCTTCTCTGTCCAATATATCCTCCAATATCTGTTAAATTGACATTCCTAAAACACAGGTCTGACCATGCCACCCATCCTCCATACTCAAAAACCCCTTAGTGGCTCTTGATTGCCTCTAGAATAAAATACAACTCCTTAGCTTGACATTCAAAGTCCTTTACATTATGTATCCTTTCTACTTTTTCAGTCCTGTTTCATATTACTTCCCTTTCCTCAATCTCTGTTCTAGTCAGACTGGCCTTTTAGTTGTTTCCTGTGCACACCATTCCTGCCCTTCAACCTTCACCTCCATGGCCATGTTTTGAATGTCTTGAATGAAATCCTTCTTTACCTCTTTCTCATAGGATAGCTATGTTCCATCAAAGCCCACAGTCTCCTTTGTGAAATCTTTTCTGATATCTCTACTCATCAGCACTCTCTACCTCCTAAAATTATTTTACACAATTAATTTTTTTTATACTTTGTATTTTCTTATTTCTGTTCATATTGTATCTCTTCCCCCTCCCTCCCACCGCCCATAGTATGTAAACTCCCTGAGGGCAGGGACTATCTTACTTTTGCTTTCATATTCCCAGGACCCAGCATAAGGCATTGCCCATTCATGGTAGATACTAATGTTTGTTAAAATGGATGAATTTTTGGTATACATACAAATTTTTATACAGTGGCATTACCTAGGGTAAGTCATGTCTATAATTGATCGTGGGACTTTGTGAAGACCCAAAGAAGAAATGGTATTGTGGAAAGAGCACTGGACTTGGAGTCAATAAAAACTGAGTTAAATTCTTGTCTTGGACATTTACTAGCTGTGTGACCCTGGGCAAATTACTTAACCTCTCTCAGACTTGTGTTCTTTATTTGTAAAATGAGGACAATAGTAGTACCTACCTCTCAAGGTTGTTATGTGGATCTAATGAGATGATATTTGTAAAGTGCTTTGCAAAACCTTAAAGTGCTATATAAATGTTAGTTGTTGTTATTATTGCTCATGATTAGAAATGAATCAAAGAAAGGCCCCATGTTAATTATATCATTACTTGCCTAGTCCTTTTAGGATTTTCTTTTCCAGTTTTTGTTCCTTGTTGTTGAAAGGCTCCCTGACTGCAGATGTGGGGGCTTCTCCAGCAGCTATTGGTTCTTTTTCGCTGTCATCATTTGCATCTTCATATTCCCCTTCCTCATGGTTGAAGGGTTCCACCTTCTCAGACTTCTCCTTATCGCTCATACCACTCTCTTTCCCCACTAGGCTGGAGGCAGACCCATAGGTCTTTATAATGTCTTCCAGCTGCCGATTGAGCTCTTCAGAAATATCACTCCCCATGTTTTCAGGGCCAGCACTTGCTTCTTTCTCAGGTATCTGAGACTTGGGCTCTGGATTCTGCTCTGTTTGTTTGTCCAGGCCATTCTGATGAGGTAACAACGAAGTGTTGCTCTCTGCAGAAGGGGGTGGCTGTTGTTCGGCAGACAGATCTGTGTGCTGGTTACTCTCCATGCTTGGTCTAGTATCTAGCGTCAAACATAATGAGGTTTAATGTCATTCTCCCAATTGTACATGAATGGGATAGAGCAATGCTGATTTTGAATGGATTTATCAAACATATCCAAAACAGATGGCTATTACAAGCCTATTGTCTAAACAGAACTCACATTCATAAACTTCTGTTATTAGAATTGGAATGGAAAGAATATTTTTCAAAGCCATTTTTCCTTTTAAAGGCATTTTATCAACACTGGGTTTTCCACCCTCCCTTCTCTTCCCCCATCCTCCCTTAACTTTTTCCTCCCCGAACTTTGGGGGCGGGGAGTGGAGAAAGGTGAGTACTATTCTCTATTATGGAGACTGAAAGCATAATTACAATCTATTTTTTCCTATGTTCACATTGACATTTGACTCAGGGTTGATCATTTTGAGCTGTTTTACTTTAGGGTTCCCATTTTCTTATCTAGTACAGCTTAAAGTCATAACCTGGGAGGAGAACAACTCTGTAAATACCGCCTCCCCATTATATGTTTTTTCATATTGTATAAATTTTATTAATATCACAATTATAATTGGGGGATTTTCTCAATTGTAATATTAAACATAAAAAACCAAAATTGGAACTAAAATCATAATTTATATGAGGCAGCCTTCTGCTTGCCTGTAATTTTAAGTGATCACTATTTGGAAAGTATAATATTTAGAAATAGAATAATAAAATCTCAGAGTTAGACATAAGGACCAATCAAAATAGCCATCTATGGCACAGCAGAAAGAGTTCTAGGTGTGTCAGAAAACCTGAGTCCTATTCTTACCTCTAACACTAGCTGTGTGACCTTGGACAGATCATTAATCAATCCACTCTGACCCTCAGTTTCCATACATAAATCGAAAGGGTTGAACTGAACAATAATAGTAGCTTACATAAAGTGTATTTTATCTGCAGGAAACCCTTTCACAGACAGTATTTCCTTCGCTTGCCTAAGAATCCTTCTGACTCTAAAATTCCATGATTTAATTGGTCTAACTGGCATTAAAATCAATAATAATAATAATAACAATAATGATAGGCTTTGCATTTCAAAAGGTGAAGGAAGAGATGAAGCAAAAATTTTATGTGAAAATATTGCAGCTTTGGCCACTCACGGGTGTGTTGGAGCCAGCTTGTAGAGTTTGCCAGAGCCAATTGTTAAATTTTTAGTGTGAGCATTTCCACCTTGGAAATGTATAAATGCTACAAATCAGGGATTGATTTATTGTTTTGTTGATTTCTATACTTAAGAAACTGATGAAGAAAATGTTAATAATACAGATTAAACTTAGAAGAGTATTAATATTTTTTTTCCAGAGCCAGTCATTAAACATTTACTAACACATCCCTGCAAATGTGATCATTTTCAAACAGTAGCAATGTTCTAAAATATAAAAACAAATGTTGCAAGCACAATTTTGGGGGGTCTAAATGTATCAAATAAATATTAGTCCTGGATTTGGGGTTTTTTTTTGGAGGTGGGGCAGCAGTTCCCTTTCCTCCCTCTCTTCTCCTCCAAGTACACACAATCTGGGGAGGAGTCTTACAGCAGGTAGGCTTTAAGATGAATGTTAGATGAGGGCAAGGAAGAAAGTTAAGGATCAAAATTATAGTATACAGTAAAATCCAAAGGTCATAAAAAGTATGCGAAGATGTTTAATATGAAGGAGTCTTTTGGAGGAAAGGGATGATGTACATTAGTGAAAGTATGGGAACATGCTTTGAAACCCAGCTGTCCCCAAAGAAGACAGTAAATTTAGGATCAATTAATCAATCAATTTATTTAAGTGTCTAATATGTGCCAGACACTGTGCCAAGAGGTGAGGATACAAAAAGAGGTAAAAGACTCCTGCCCTCAAGGAACTCACAATCTAATGGGGGAGACAACAATTTAAAAAACATATATAAATAAGCTGTATACAAGATAAATAGGAAATAATTAATAGAGGGAAGGCATTAGAATTAGGAGGGATTGGGAAAAGCTTCCTGTCAAAGATGGGATTTTAGTTGGAACTTTAAGGAAGCCAGGGAAGCCAGTAGACAGACTTGATGAAGAAGAACATTCTAGGTATGGGAACAGCCAGAGAAAATGTCTAGAGCTAAGAGGTGGAGTGTCTTGTTCGTGGTACAGCCAAGAGGTCAGTGTTACTAAGTCAGAGTATGTGTCAGGGAGTAAGGTGTAAGAAGACTGGAAGGGTGAGAGGGGGCTAGATTACGAAGGGCTTTGAATGCCAAACAGAGGATTTTCTATTTGATCCTGGCCACTAGAGTTTATGGAGTTTTTGGAGATAAAGAGAATTCGACATGGTCTGACTTGCACCTTAGGAAAATCACTTTACTGACTGAGGGGAGGATGAGTGAAGAGACTTCTGGCAGGCAGACCCACAGAGTGGTGGTAGTGTTAGAAGAGAGAAAGAGGTTTATTCAGGAGATGTTGCAAAGGTGAAATTGAAAGACCTTGGCAACAGATTAGATGGGGATGGGGAATAAGAGATAGGAGTGGGGAATGACTTCTAGTGGTCAACCTGAGAGACTTGGAAGATGGTGTTGCTCTCTACGGTAATAGGGAAGGTAGGAAGGAGGTAGGGTTTAGTGGGAAATATAATGAATTCAGTTTTGGATAGGTTTGAGTTGTCTACTGAGCATCCAGTTTGAGATAACAGAAAGGTAGAAGAAGATGTGAGATTGAACTTCAGCTGAGGGTTGGGACAAGATTGGTAGATTTGAGTAACATCAGTACAGAGATGGTAATTAAATTTGTGGGAGCTGATGATATCATTGAATGAGGTAATATATAGAAAGAAGAAAAGAGAGCCCAGGATGGAACCCTGAGGGATGCCTATGGTTAGCAGGCATGACCTGGATGAGGAGCCAGCAAACAAGACTGAGAAGGAATTCTCTGTCTTCAATTTAAGAGTAATTTTCTTGCACAAGGTAATCTTTATGTGTTAAAATGAAAATGAGGAGCCTTAGGTACTTTCAAAGTTGTCACCAGACTTAGTAGGGGAAGAAAACTTTTATTGAACTGGAGGATCATGTGGTATGATGAATACACTAGACATAGAGTCAGAAGTCCTGGGTTCAAGTTCTGGCTTTGTCAGTTGGTAACAGTGTAACTTTGGCTAAGTTGCTTTAATCTCTGTGAGTTTGTTTTCTTATCTGTAAAATGAGGAACTTGAATTAGATGACCTATAAGATCCCTTCCAGTTCTCTTAGTTTCTAAATTTATTAATGGGTAATGGGAGAAGAAAGAGTTATAAATGCAAGTCATGCTGTGTTTCTAGAAAACGAAGGGCAGCTATACTTTTGTGGGCATTCTCCTTCAAGTCCTTATTAGTTCATGGGGGTACTGGCCCTAGGTACTTGAAAGGAATGCTGATGGAGTAAAACTCTGTCAGTTCCTATGAACTTGGAGGGGCTTTGAGTTTGGGCCTGGTAATAAACTTATGTCATCTAAGGAGAGGCCTATCAACAGGGCGGACAAAGGATGTTGACTTTTTCAGCCACAGGAACTCAAAAGGGCCATCTCCTGAGGTACAGACTGCTCTTTTGTTTAAACAATAGGAATTACCCTCTAATCAGATTTTCACTTTTGACAAATGCAGTGGAGGAGCAGAGTGGGAAGTGGGGGGAAGGTAGTGGTTGCAGGAGACTGGGATGCAAAGGACAGTCCTAGTACAGGTGCAGTCACAATAAGAGAGGGAGAGCTCTAACCCTTTTGCTTAAGGGTTTTTTTTGTTTTTTTGTAGTTAGAGAAAATGGGGAGGGGAAGGTGGGATTCCTGTGAGTGGTGCTATGGAGACTGGATCCTAAGTCTCTGTTTGGGTCTGATTATTACTGTTGGGAGAAAGAAGTAGGACCCAAAAGATAAGGAGGACTCTCTCTATGTTAGTACTCTGTGACAAAACAGTATTTTTCTGTTAGTTATAGTTATACAACCAATGATATAATTGACCCTTGCGTAATGAAGAAAGACAGAAATGACTCCCTCCCTTCGTTGAAAATGTAGGAGCCTAGAGGTAGGCAACATTGTATATACTGTCATACTTAGCTGACATGTGATTAATTTGGCTGACCTGCTTCCCCTACCCCATCTTAATACCTATTACAGAAAATGGCTCTCTGAGTAAGAGGTATGAATGGGGGGACAAGGAGGAGGGATATATTCAGGGGCCAGTTCTCTCCTCTTTAGACAGCCTAATCCCCACACATCCTACCCCCTTCCACATACTCTCAAGGGGTCATTAGATGGGTTCCAGACTCAGTGTAGACATCTGATGGGCTTTAACCCACTGTAGCTAAGAATTCCTGAACTCAAGTGATCCGCTGGCCTCTGTCTCCTTAGTATCAGGGATTACTGATACATGTCCACACCCTTAGCTTCTAATTTAGATTTTCAAAAGTCATGCACTTTGGGCAGGCAACAGAGGATGAAAAGAAAAGCCCACGATAAGGTACTATAAACATAGTGTCTGGAATACTAAGACTACCAATGAATTTAGGCATTTGTTCCAGGACTATAAAAAGTACTTCTTTCAGCAGAATTAGGGGAAAGTGGATGACCAAAGAAGGGATAAGACCATAGCTTGGGGTAGATAGGGTACTGATAACTGGCAACAGAGAGAGAGCAGAGAAGCTTAATTCTTACTTTACTTCCATTTTCTTTGCCAAGAAGAAGGACCTTTGGAATGGAAAGGACAGAATAAAAATGGCTAACAAGGAACTGATAACTAAGATCAACAAGGAATTAATAAGAGAACACCTATCTGTCCTTGGTGAACTCAAGTCAACCATCCCAAATAAACACTGAATAATAAAACAGCTAATAATAATAATAAAATAATAATTGAATAGTAAAAAAGCTAATACCCCCCACCATAAATAATATTTGACAGGTTGACGAGAATGGGAATAGTAGTATAGGATTAAAGAAGATTAAATGTTGTTTCCATTTTCAAAAATGGGAAGAAAATAGATTCTGCCCACTGTAGGCCA